TATGAGTAAAAAAAGTTTTTTATCCTTAAAGAGCTTAGCAAAATTAGGCAACATACACAATGCAAAGAAACAAACCGATAAAAAGTATAGCAATTTCTTACTACGCAAGAAAAATAAACACATCAATAAAAATATAACTAAGAGTAGAAAAACCGCAGTATCCAAAGTCCATCGGTAAAGTTCCGATATGCCCGGGTTGGATGATATACATATCATTACCTCTCTCTCTCCTCTCGATTTATTGTTGGCCAAATAGAGCAAAAGGTGGAGGATTCTAAAATAGAATAGGCTTATATAGGGTGAGGTGTTATTTTGTAACCTCACCCACTCAAAGACAAGCAAACACACTGTGATTTTCATAATTCCTCACTAGAATATGACATGTAGTCTTAAAAATGGGGTATTTTTAATAATGATCATTATCGCCTTTGGTCCTTCTATGGGTGCAAACTTCCGGGTCAGTCTTAAATGGATGCAGCTTCCCTACCTCGCATAGGATACCCGCAATCAATAATGAAAAGAAATTCCCTGATAACCAAGGAGAACTTCTATTCTTTTGTGTTACCATTTGATAACCTCGGATTATAATTGTGGTTGTATTAAACACATACCCTCTTTAATAAACCAATTTATAACCTCTTTTTTCAAATACATTATATCCAAAATACAAAACGAGAAAATCTAGACTCTCTTGAAGGGTTATTTAACCAATTCAAAATAAAACATTCTAAGAGCAATTTTATTGGAGGGGTCCTCAATGGTGGATTTGAGTGGGGTCTCAGCTGAGGAGACGCCTCATGACCGCTAATTATATACTCACTTTTTTTTTGCTCCACTTTTTCAATGCTACATGAGATTTCCATCCTAATCAAATGTTGGATATCAAGAGGATTTGGCTTGTTTGCACTTTAGATAATCCATGCTCCTTGTTTGTAAAAGAAGTCGAGCATTTTGGAAAGATATGGATCAAACGAAAACTGCGAGAGATTAAGGCTTTGAGAGCTCACCATTATTAGAACTCAATGGTGGATTTGAGTGGGGAAAAGGTGGATGAATTGTTTGGAGAGCTCACACCAAAGAAGTCTCGGGCTTGGGGAGTCTTGGGAAAGAATACGTTTGCAATGCCCTCTAATATGCCCAGAGATTCTAATTATAGTCTAATCCGCTATGATGGAAATTGGCCAAGATGGATCCTAGGGTTAATTAAGAGGGTCTAAGCTCCCTTGGCTATATTTGGGTCAGGGGAGGCTTGGCATGGGTTGTAAAAGCTAAAAGGCGCCATAAAATTTGACATAAATAGGTAAAATTTGACCAGAAATTAAGGCTTGGATTAACTAAGCCAAAGTGTTGAACTATGTCAACATGGTCAAACTCAGGGTCCAAAATATTAGGGTTTGAGCAAGGGAGAATTTGAAATTGAAATTGAAACCTAAATAAGTTGTGATTTGGGCTAGTTTGGTCCATCCTAGGTTGACTTGGTCAACCAGGTTGATCCATGACCTAGGTCTGGGCTTTGGAACCCTCGTTTAACTCACTAAACCAAAGGAAGTGGTCCTAGGATGTAGCTTTGTCAATTTAACCCCCAAGTCAACTGAAAGTTCGAGTAGGTTTTTCGAACCTCATAGACTGGCCCAAAAGTTAAGCCAAGAGGGAGGGGGGAGATAGTTTGGATAACGATTTGTATAGAAATATTCATAGAAAATATTTATTTTTTATCATGCACACTAAAAAATACCCTAAAAGTGCAGAAAATAAAATTCAGTAAGAAAAGTAAAGAATAGATGAACAACAAAATTTCATAGTGTTTGATCAACACTAGACCATACGTCCCCTCCCTAAAAGGAAAGCCTCGCATTTCCATTGATTGCAAAAAGCTAGAAGGGCGAAAGTGACTCCCTTTAGCTCATGCAGTACCATGATTGAGAAGCCCTTTATAGCAAGTTCACTACGGAACCGTTAGTCATGGTCACACCAAATAATCCAATGTGGTAGAGTAGGCGGTCAGTAATTTGATACCATTATTTAAATATATATACTCTTAATCTTTGCTGTAGATACTCAAACCCTTAAATTTGGAAAATAGTTCTAGGCAAAAGTTACCAGCACATCCTTTCTCACCCTCCTGGTAAGAACAAATGTGTGGAAAAGAACTTGACCTACATATCATCCTTGCTACATACATCTTTGATTTGGAGCCAAAGCTACAGATCCTATGGTTAATTCAACATATATCACTCCTATGGTTACCATCTCGGATCTAAATATGTATGAGATATGATGTTATACATGGGCCCTTTATTTGGGATGCGAGTATTTAAGCATGTTAAGAGACCTCGAGGAGGTGTCTAATTATATATGATATAATCTATATTGTATTAGCTATGCAATACTGTACTTGAGCACACGTGTGATGTTCTTCATCACAAAAAGATTTATGCAGGAAAGGAGGAGAAACTTTAAAAGAGATAATATTAAGAGAGGAGAGTCCTTATGTTATGATATATATCACTTATCTTAGTGTAAATTCTCACTTACGAGCAGAGGGCGAGAGAGAAAGATCTAAATTAGCAAAAAAATTATATAATATATTTAAAAAGTATAGTATTAAAATTTTACTTTATAAAAATAATTAAAACTATTTGTTTAAAGTATCATAGTATTTAAATTTGAAAAAATAAATTTTAATAATAAATATCATGTATGTATATTTTTATAATAATATAAATATATAAATATATTCCTTTTTATTATATATATAATATATATTATATATATATATGTATATATATAGATTTTTCTCATGTATATTTTAACAAATCATAAAATAAATATGCAAAAAAAATTCAAGCGAACACTTGAAAATGCATAAAAATATACTTAATAAATATCAAAATTGTGAGTATTCTAATGGTTTTTGTTTGAAATTTTAAAATTTAATACTATATATTTATAAAATATTTTGCTTTTTCCTAGTTTTATTTATATGCTTTATTTAAAACCTTTTCCTTAGAAATACAAATGAAAAAAGTAAAAAAGAAATTATTAATGTCATAAGACTTTCTCTATGATAATAATTTTAAGGATCTATTTTATTTTATATTATATAGATATTAGTTAAAAATTATTTTTAATATAAAAAAATTATTTAATTCTCTCTCTCCTCATCTGTCTCCTCCTCCAGACTTTTCATTTTGTGTGGATACCGGACGAAAAGAATCATACGATTTTCTTTTTGTCTACAATTAAAGTACAGTCAAAGCACAGCTTTTACAATAACTGCATTTTTACTACAGACAGAAAGAAAATCGGACGATTCTCACCGTTGGTATCCGCAAGGAAGAATAATACTCGCTTCCCTTCCGGCCTTCCTCCACACTCTCTCTCCCCACATTTATCTTCTCTCCCCATTTCTCTCATAATCATTTCTCTTGTGGGTTAAGTGAATACCCAAAGGATTTGGCACATTTAGCTCTCTGTATTTTATTTGGTGCTTTCTCGATCTATACATTATTTTATTTGGAACATTTGCTCCTTTATATATTTTATATTAAACATACTTTTTTAGCTAATCATGAAACTTAATCAGCTCTTTTATAAAATAAAAGCACTTTCTTATTAATTTAATTTATGAAGCAACTTTTAGTACAAACTTTTTTAATTTAAAAACTGCTTTAAAAACAGTAATACAATCATTCATTCGCCAGAGAATTCTGAAGGAGACTAAGGGCATTATTTGCTGTAAAAGTCTAATATGCTGGTGCTTCTGCGCTTCGTCTTCGCATACGAGCTCCCCAAGAGAGATTTTCTTCTGAATTCTTCATTGTGCTCCTCCTGCTTAGCTCCACAAGCTGATCATGAAAACGTTTCTGCAACCAAGATTCCTTCTCCATTTCCTAAATCAAGAGGAAACCATACGAACAGCCGCATTAGGAACTAATTTTCTAAAAAATTTTGGACAAAATGATTGAATGAATGAGAAACTTCGTTCAGTGAGGAATAAATGCAGAACCAGAATAACAGGAAGGAGGCTATTTCATTTAATTTCATTGATCAGAACCGCCCGGCCCTGTTTTCTATCAGAGAAAACCAAACAGTTTTTCGGTTCTCTGTCAGATGGAGAAAAGTAAATGGAGTTACTGGACAAGTTTTTTTTTTTTTTTTTAAATGTATATATATGTGTGGTGTGCATAATTGCATGTCTATTTTCCATGTGGCAAGAGAAAGAGAGAGAGAGAGGGATCTATGAATTAATAAATATATTTAGGTTTTGTTGGGACAATTTTTATACTGTTTTCTAAAGCAACATTTTAGTTAAAATTTTTAAATTCAAAATTATTTTATTCTAAAAAAGTTGTTTTAAAAAGTAAGAAGTTCTAATTGTTTCTAAAAGCAAGTTTTTATTAACAAAAATTTAATTTTTGTATTAAAATAATGATTTAAGAAACAGTAAAAAAATCATCCCAAATAAAATCTTAAAATCAAGTTCAGATAAGAGTTTTGACAGCTTTGTTTTCAAATAGCTGGATATTTCTGTTTTTTCATGAGAAAAAACTTTTTTATTGTCAAATCTACTAAAGCTGATAGCTATAAGAAAAAATATTATTATTATTTAAAAAAAAGAAAATAATACTCACAATAATTAAATAAAAATAATTTTTTCTACACTATTTCTATGTTTATCCAAAACTTTTTGGAGCCTAATTAGGTCTCGTTTGAGACAGCTTTCTTTCTGTTTTCTGAAACATCTTTTTAGTATATAATTTTTTCAGATTAAATTTGTGTTATTAAAAAATGTTTTAGAAATCATTAAGAAAATTGTCCAAGATAAATGAAAAATAACCTAAATTCAGAGCTCTTAAATCATATAACCTGGCTCTTTAGCTCTTTGCAGACCAGTTATTAACAAAACCATAGAAAAAAAAGTTATTAGAACAATCAAACCATCAAAAGGCAAGTAGTCTGAAAAAATGCAACAAATAAAAATGGTAATATAAGTAAAAAAAAAAAACTCTCCAAGCATATCCTTTACTCCTAACAAATCCCAATCCAAATTATTGGCTCATGGGCGTTCAATTAAAACAAAAGAAGAGGATTGAAGATGAAGGGAGCAAGCTCACCTCATGGAAGCGCCGCTTAGCGGTGGAGAAGGCCAGGTGGAGATCGCTGCGAGCAAGGTTGCGATCATAGATGGCACGGTGACAAGGATCTAAGAGGGTGTCATAGGCCTCCTTTACCTCGATAAACCGCTGAGTATACTCCTCCGTGCGATCCGGGGGTGAGACGTCAGGATGGTACTTCCTCGCGAGGTGCTTGTAGGCGCGCTTGATATCGTCGGTGCTCCCACTCGCCGGAATCCCTAGAAGCTCGTAGAAGCTACCCTTCGTCTCCGGAAGCTCGACAACGGCCCCGAAATCCCTCATGGCCGCCCGCGGGCCAGAGATTAAGCGCGACTTGCGCGGTAGAGCCGTCCAGCTGCGTCCCCGCACGGCCGCCGGCATCCAACTTTGGTAACAGCCTCCGGCGGCGGGCGCGAGGCTGGTGGTTCTTAGAAAAGGCGAAATGGAGCTATTTCTGCAATTCGGAACGGCGGATTGAGACTTGATCATTTCTCTCGCTTGCTCTCTCTTTGGCGCTTTAGGTCTAAATTCTCCGTTGCTGAGGTTTGTATTAATAGGAAAATTTGGGCGCTAAGTAAGGCTTCGTGTGGGACAGATTTGTTACAGTAAAAATGTTGTCTATACCCATAAAAAATATTAAATCATAAAAGATAAAAAATATTAGAATATAAATTTAAGAAAATAATTCATGCTAATTATTTAATTTTATTTTAAGGGTATTAAAGATTATTTTTTATGGAGAAAATTAGGTTCTGACTCTCCGACTCCTAAATTTGGGTTAACCCATTTAATAAACTACTTTAATACAGATTATAAATTATGATTTATTTATTAATGGGCATATTCAAGTTGGCCCACCAACTTGACTGAAAATGATCCATTTAATATTTTCTTTTATTTGTTGGTATGAATATGATGTTTTTATTTTTTTATCAATTAATTAAAATTTATGGCCAACAAGTTGTAACTTTTATAATTAAAATTGGTTATTCTGCCAAATTCCAGCCATTTTGGTTGCTAGCAGCTCCAATTTGAGTTCTCCTTTTTGGCATATTTTTTAAATGAGCCATGTTCAAGTTGATCAAATTCAAGTCTAAGTAGGGGTGTAAGTGAGCCGAGCTGACTCTCAAATCAAGCTTGTCAAGCCACGAGGTCGAGCTTGATAAGACTAGACTCATAAGCTCGTGAATCGGTTTGATTCATTATTAATATTAAAAAAATTATAATTAAGCATAGTAATATTTAAAAAATACTAGTAATTAAACATAATAATACTACTTTAATAAATGTTTTGTAATAAATGCTGTAACTCTTATGAAAAAATATTAAAAAATAATAAAATATAGGATTTAGAAAGAATTTGGGATTTACCCAAAAAAAAGAAAGAATTTGGGTGTTAGAAGCAGTCGGGTGTGAGAAAACATGTATCATAATGCAGCGTCACTTTTTTCTTTTTTGGAAAATAAACCGAGTGTGTCAAAGCATATGTCTTGATACCTCAGCTGTCTCGATGGAGATCCCGCTCGCCCGTTTCTCAAATCCCACGAGCCTATTGGAGCACGTGCAAAAGCTTCTGCGGGAGGTTCGCGTGTCAGCTCAAGCTCGTTTATAGTGAAAAGAGGTTGAATTCGAACTCGCTTTCTGTCAAAACTCGACTTGACTCGACTCGTTTACACCCCTAGGTCTAACCCAAACACACCCACTTCACCCATTTTGACACCTATAGAAGAAATAAAGCAAGCTAAATTTACTTCTCAAAAGAATTGCGAGCTAAACCCTAACATTACTTTAAGAAAATAAATTTATTTTATTTTATTGTTAACACTTAAAATATAAATAAAATAAAACCAAATAAAAGACCAAAACCGCCTCTATTCAGCATAAAAAATGAAAATATCCATTATCAGAAAATAAGACTAGCAGTTTACTGTTTACCACTTTATCATTTCTAATTTTTTTATATTTCAAAGGTTATCGCTTCAAATTTTAATAGATCCTTACAGCTCAAAATAACTTGTAATTTTTTTTGTAAGATAATAAATATATTTGAAAGCACCTATTAGACTTTATTTTATTTGCTTATTTAAAATAAAATTAATATTTATCTTCTAAAACTTAGCTGGATCGAAACTGGCGACATTAATAGCAAATTGAAGTTATTTCAAATAGTGGCAGCCAGCAAGTTCTTATAGTGGGGGCCCAAATAATTTTTACTGCTAAGTGCTTGGAGATCAGGAAAAGATTCTTAACGCTTTGGAAAATGGCGTAGGTGGTGGGTTTCGGTGCAAAGGTAAAGACATATAGGTTGAAGAGGTTGGTAGTGAGAACAAAGACAAGCATGATGAGGTTGAGAGTAGAAGTTTGGGTGGAAGTCGACTACGATGGATAGTTGTGTGGAAGTCCGGTGGCGATCGGCGGCCGAGCGATTGTCCGACGATGTTTGGGTGGAAGTTCGGTGGCTTGGTGAAAGTCTGGCAATGGTCAACGTTCGAGCGATGGTTTGATAATGGTTAGCCGAGGTTCACCGACGGTGGTTTTGGAGCTCTTGAAGCATAAGAGCTCTCTCCAATCTATAGCCAAAGGTCCCCCCTCATGTAGAGAATGTGGTCTATTGAAAGATTTTAGTGAGTAACATACCTTGTAAATATAGAGAATATCCAGGGTGAGTTCGGAGTGCTCCATCAGATGACTCGTATTGATTCCCCCGATCATAGATCATTTTTCAAGTGTTCAAGTGTCTTAATGATGTCAAAATTCAACGATCCTGAGCTCATTAGATTTCTTTTGCTGAGCCACTAAATTCGACTATAAGCATGCCATATTTGGATATAATTTTTTCATCTAATTAATGCTTTGAACATTTTGAATAGGCTTCAAACTCTTATTCAGGCCCATTTAGGCATAGATTGGATCGATTTTGGTGTCGTTGGGTTCATCTTTTTTATAGGTTTGGGTTGACTATAAGTTTGTTGAAATCAGAGTTCGGATGGTCTCGCATTTAATTTCAGAAGTTTCCTTCTTGAGTATGCCTCGAGGTTCGTGCTCACTCAAACCAATTTTAGATGACGTATCAATTTCCCCCTATTTTTAGCCGTTGAATCTTGCAGAGTTCAAAATTATATAGGTGATTTTAGCATTCTACAAAGTTAGAGAATTAATTTGAGCAAAAAATATCAAAAAACATTTGCTAAAAAACTTTTCAAATAACTCAAAACTTATAATAGATGCTCTTTGAGCTTTAAAAAGTATCAAAATTGAGTTTGGAATGTTAAAAATTTATTCTTAGAAATCCAAAAACGTCCGAATCAGATCGTCCTAGCCAAAAATCGAATTTCTTTCCTTTTGATTTTTTTTTCATGCCTCTCTTGGAGAGGATAAATTATTATGTGTGGAGTACTCCAGGGCATAGCTCTACGTCCGAACTCCAATGAAATTCTTGCGTAAATTTCTTACTTTTTTCTTAAGACCTGTGACCCTACTCATCCCATCATGAAAATTTTGAAATCGTGGCCACCTACTCATTTTTATGTTTTTGAGAAAGAAACCCACAAAAGCTCACAAATATTTAGGATTTTTTACGAAATAAAACATTTGGTACATGTTGAGGAAGAAAAAAGTGAAACAGATGATGAAGATGAAAATTGATTTGGAGGAAGTCACATTTTCTAAAAAGCCATTTGAAAAAGAAAAAAGCTTAAAAAGTAAGATGAAACTTACTTATCTAATAATTGATTTTTAGTATATATTATGAGGTAATTTATGTTTTGTTGAGCTTCGTTTTTCAACAGAGAAATCTGTCGTAGAGACAACTACAACAGAATTGTATTAACCTTTAAGGCAGATAAAGTTCAAAAAATAAGCCCAAAATCTTCAATGAGGAATTTATAAAGTGAGCAACAATGGTTTATGTGTTTTTTGTGATGTTTCACACACATTAACTTTGAATATACTCTTGAAATTTTTATTTATTCTTTTGAAAGCTTTTTTAGCTTTTATACAGTTGGGTATTATAGAAATTATGTTAAAAAAATATGTTTTTTTTTTTTTTTTTTTTTTACCCAAAGTTTTTTTTTTTTTTTTTTTGCTAAAATGCACTATGTATTGATAGGCATTACGGTGTATTATTATATATTTATGCTTATATGAATCCACAAATATTATATTTATTCATTTGAATGCTTTTTAAGCTAATATACAGTTATGTATTGGACAATTTAGGTTAAAAAATACAACTTTTTTTCCTAAAACACACAATGTATTGCTAGGTTTTGCTGCATATTGTTGTATATTCAAGCTTATATGAATCAACAGTATTATATTTATTCATTTGAAATCTTTTTGAGCTTTTACACAGCTGTATATTATAGAAATTTTATTCAAAATATATTTTTTTACTAGAGCACACTATGTATTGTTGTGTATTCAAGCTTATATGAATCCACAAATATTGTGTTTATTCATTTGAAAGTTTTTTGAGTTTTTACACAACTCAGCATTAAAGAAATTATGTTAAAAAATATAATTTTTTGGCTAAAATGTACTATATATTGTTAGTTTTTGTTGTGTATGTTGTGTATTTAAGCTTATATGAATCCACATATATTGTATTTATTCATTTGAAAATTTCTTGAGTTTTTACACAAATGTGTATTAGATAAATTATATTAAAAATATGACTTTTTTTTGTTAAAATGCACTATATATTACTATATATTATTGTGTATTCAAGCTTATATGAATCCATAAATATTGTATTTATTCATTTGAAAGTTTTTTGAACTTTTATACAGCTATGCAAAAGCTTGCCTATACAAGAATGAATACCAGTGTAGCTCTGAATAGTTAAAAAATGACACAATTGCTTCAGATATCTCAGAAAATAATGATGAAGATTGCAATAATGAGGCAAGAAATTACAACAGACTAGTAAATCCTTGAAAATATTACAACATTTTGTCTTTGTCATAATGATTTGAGTACTCACATTAGGAGAGAAAGCATATAATAGTGAATATTTAGTTGCCACTTTACAAAACAAGAAAAAAAAAATTTTTTGTTAGGTACCTTTAGATGAAATCAAACTTTTGAAGCTTGTTTGCATTTTTCTTTTTAGGTAATTGATAGAATAAAGTTACTTGCCTTATAACAACTTAGTAAATTAAGTTTTAAATAGCATTCAACCTTGAATAAATTCTTTCAAACTATATACTTTACTGACTTTTTCGCAAATTATGCAATATTTTTAAGAAAAAATTAAAGCAAAATTTTAAGGTCAACTGGATTTTTAGAATAATTTAAAAAGCAGTAAGATTGGGCAAATATACATCTAAGAATTATTTTTGAGTGAGGGCACTAGAATAAATTTGTATTTTTTATTATTAATTGTTAATATACAATCATTATCGAATTTAATATAATAAAATACAATTTTTTTCTCAATAAATTTTTTATATTTTTTTCAAACTCATTTATGAATAATTGGATGCTTGAATATTAAATCAATATACAACAATACATAACAATATATAATAATATACATC